TAAAATGTTGTTGTTAAAACCTGAAATACATCTGGCGTTCTCTCTAATTATTTCCGCATTAAGCGTACCACAAAATGCACTTCCTTCCAAATACAATGAGTCCGAAAGCAACCCCACACTTGCCAATTTTGCCCTTCCTTAGATTCAAAACAACACCGACCACAAATCACAGTTTCTTAAGAAATATAACATCAAAACCAGATTTACCACTTGTCCAAAAATCTTTCAACATAAGAGAGCCTTAAAAATAAACTCATTAGCAGTTGCCGAACACAATCACGCAATCGGACATAAAATTTTATGCGATAAAACTACCAATTCTACCAATGAAAAATCCGAGGATTTATAGAAATCTATTGGCAACCAAACAATTTTAACCGCGATTCAGGTCTTTAATTAGTGAATTAGTGAATTAGTGTTCCGAGGCCATGCCCTCCTTTAGCTCCGTCGTCCCCCCACCCCCCTCATCAACGATATTTTACCAGAGATATGAGAAGTTCCGTTAACTCAGCTACACAGTATATTTTTTGCAACAGGACGGAGCCTCTCAAATCATACGTCCATATTTAGGTAATTCTTATTTATTGGTCTCCCAACTTGTCAGTACTTGATAACTTCTCATGGTGCTATCTTCAAAATCAAATTTACATCAATCAGCATCATACAGTTCAACAAATAAAATCTTCGAAATGCTATTGAAATTGAATTAAGAAATGTGCGCATCACCGTTACGCAAGTGCATTATTACACGGGAAATCGTGGCAGACGATTTTATATGGCTGAATCGTTGATTCTGCGTTCCTTCAGCAAGATACCGTTCAGTCTAGGAATATTTCTCCTCCTCCCTTTGATTCTTCAATGTCCTCGTTCGTGATCCTTTCCAAGGTTATGATGGAAATGGCGTTTAGGAGTCTGTTTTTTCCATTAGTGATGCTGTAGCTAGTTAGGAGAACGATATACAATAGTCAGAAAATTAAATAGTAAGTTTGGATTTGGTGGAACAATTCTTCGATTTCCATCGAATGTCAATGCCTCCACATTCAATTCTTTGAATAAAAGTTTTTAATCTTGCTACGCATTGCAAAATGTTTTCCCCTTTGCTAATTTTAAAATGTTGCATTAAAATTGGATAAATTATAAGATCATAAAATTTTTGGCTTAATTCTATTTTAATAGAAGTCCAAGTTACAAGAACACTTCCAGCATTTTCTACTACTTTCGATTTTACTGCGGCTACAGCTGCTCTTCTTTGATCTTCGTTATTATTGAAATATAACGAATCCCGCTTTCCGGAAAGTGTAGGTAAAATATAAGATTTTCGATATTTTTTTTATTACTTATATTTTTTACATTTCAAATATCTAACAGAACTACTAAATCCTCTGTAATAGGCGTTAATGATTTGGCAGTTGCGTCGGCTATATAGCTGCTGATAATACGGTAGCGAGCAAATTGAGTGTATTGAGCTGTCCCGCTGCGAGGAGTGGGTTTCTTTTTGTTCGCACAAGATTTGACAATAAATACCCACCAAGAACCGATAAATAGCGAAATTGCACTGTCTTAACTGTTTTAAAAAGGTTTATTTTTGAAAAAAGCCTTGCTTTTCTTAAAATGAACAATTAATGTGAACAGCGATGAGCTTTGACACTATATTAATATTGCAAGGGATATTGCGGCCGTTGATTTTGTGTGGCTGAACCTTTGATTCAGCTTCTATTGGAGAGCGTGCTCCCGATAACCAAAACAAGAAAATTATGCCAATACTGCATTCATTATAATGAAGGTGAAATTAAGCATTTCCTTTAGCTGTTTCAAATTTAAATTTTTAATTTAAATTTAAACTAATTTTGCGACAGCAAAATAAATAACACGGATAAAAATACTTCATGAATAAACTTCTTATGTTAAAATAATAAGTTTGGTCAAGATAGTAATTAATATGAATGGACTAAAACTAACTAATTGTTAAATATATAAAATTATTGTGTAATATAGTTATTAAATAAAATATTTAATAGTAATAATTTATTTGCATTTCATGGCCTATAAGAAGACATATTAAAATATTATAATATCGAACAAAGACCTGAACCAAAAATAAATTATAAAGTGCTATACATATTCGGATGAAAAGCAATGACGTGAAATTATACATGGCGCCCCATTTTAAAATACAAAATTTTATGTCGAAATTAAAAAAAAACTGAAAAAACATCTCTATAGGCGTATTTTTATTTTTTCGATAGCTCAAATATTAATGAAGATCCAAGGGGTGCCTCAAATCGCGAAATTTCGTTTCACAAATAAGTAATATGACCCGCAAACCGCAAGCCTTTAGTTTTACTCATAACCGAGATATCCCGCAATGACAATGAATTTCGGACACACTGTACACACATTTGACCTTACGACGTTATTAAGTGCTTTTGACACATTATTATTTCTCAAAAATTGCACAGACCACCTAGTTGCGAATCTTCAAAAATACTCTTATAAAGAGGAAACATTGGGTTTACCAATTTTTATAAATTATTGTTATCTTGTAACTAGGGTACAACAAATTTTAAGCTTAGGCCAGCCTTTTATTAATAGATATTATGTCGATAGTATCTGGGGCTAACTACGACTTTGTTACGACAAACCTCACAGTACACGTATCTATTAATAAAATAACTTAAAAATTGGCCTATCTATACTCTAACCCTCCGTCAAACACCTTGTACATAACCAACCTACGGAATTCTCCAAAAACCTCTAGTCGCTGATTTTGATTTGCAGATAGTTTTGTTTCGAAATTTGGTTAGTTATAAAATGTGAATAAATTTTTAAAATCAAACTGCAGAATAGATTGTTACATAATATTTTATAGTATATGTTTGTATTGTAATAATTTCAGCGCAACTTTCGATAAAACTAATTACAAATACTTTCTTGGCAACTACAATTATTTACGACGATGTTAGAATTGTAATTAACTCCCTACCGAATAAAGACTCCCATATTACTTAAATCAATGAATTATAAAATAGCTGCTTCGATTATTGATTTGATTGATCACTCTTCGGGGGACATATTTCCTGAAAAACTATGCCTTGATAATCCCTGTTTATAGAAATAGCAACCACCATAACATTGAGAATTAATTAATGTCCTATCTCAATTTAAAGTGTCTTGTCCAAAATTTTTGGATAAAACTATTTTTTATAAACATCTTTCTTTCTTAAAGAAAAATAAAGTGCCCCCTCAGCGACAATATGGCTTTGGCTCCGGATTTTGCACTTCATTGGGGTAAAGAGATATCTTATAACATATATGAAATAAACAAGGGAATAACGAATTTAAGATTGTGTTTTTCTTTTACTTTTTGCAACATTATGATGTCACTATTGAAAAACTCATGAAGATAGGCACTGCCCAGGACAGTCAGCGCTTTTTTGCGACAATACAATAATTTTGGTATTTGGAAAATGTTATCTAATATAATAATAATATCATTATCAACTGCCACGAGACGGTTTGTCTCGAAATTTCAATGGCTCTGTTAAATTGATCTTTTGGATATTTAGATTTAGAGGTCACACTGTCAAAACCAAGAAGATTGCCAAATTTCTAGGCGTGGCAATTGATAGCCATCTTTCTTGGTGCCAGCGTATTCACTGTCTAAAACTCAAGAAAATGTCCTATATGTTAAGTTAATTAACCAAGTGTCTACCACGTTTTCGTGTTCTCAACAATCTCCTGTACATTTGTTGTCTGGGCAAATGTAAAACTGATTTTTAGAAAATAAAAATATATTAAACTAATCTTTAGGAAAAATAAAGTACCTTTATGAAGGTTAATAACTTATTCAGATCCTAGCCTAGGTATGCTAGCAATCAAAATGTTCATAGCCCTTTAATGGTTCTATCTTCAAAAATTGATACTGATGATCTTTAGAAGTTTTTAGATGTGTTGGACTTCTCTGAAGACCTCGATTTATAATAAATGTTCAAAATTAAAACATTACTGTATGGACATTTTCTAATTATTGAAATAGAAGAGTTTTGTTGAGTTAATGATTTTGTTGTGATTTTTTTAATAAAATGTTTGTTATTTATTGGTAGTTGTCGAATTAATGTTTAAATTAGTATATTACATATTTTACATGAGTTTATATACAACTGGTAATCTTTTATATTTGGCCTTCGCGTGCTTTTCTTATCTTGTGATACATTTAAAAAAATTGAATACTGTTTCTCTAAATCCACATAGGCATAATTTTTTTTGAAACTGTGGAGTTTCAAAAGATGGTATAAGAAAGGTTTAAAAAAGTATCTGTTTCGTTCCACTGTGTATAGTGAGAGTTCTCATTGCACAAAAGAGAATACTCCGACTCCTTTTTGAGCTATCGTAGGGGCGTTGACACAAAATACTCACTATCCATCTACCGATTTGCCTAATATTTTGGAAATAGAAGCAATCGTTGCATTTAATGACATAATCATGAATATTTTAATCAATCAGCAATTTTTGCTGGTCTACGTCTCCATAATCCCTTGCCATTTGCCATAAAACACGTTAATATATTTTTATCTAATGTTTCATAACATCTGGTTGCCGTTAAATAAAAATCACTTTTTAAAAAATATATTTGGGCTTAATGTCGTTGGGGCACTGTTTTTCGTTTATTTCTCTCTTTTGTTATGATTTTCTACTCTTTTTGTATTGCTCGGAACTGAACAAATATCAAACCAACCAAAACTAACCAAAACAACACAGATGAACATTAGTACACCATTGTTTGTATTATAGAAAATATTCGATTGAATGGACCTCTATAAATAACGTTAAATCCAATATTCTCGTCACGAGTCCCACTCCGGAACTTCATCGGTATGCAGTCAAAAAATCTTTATTAAAGGAATAATAAATTCCTAAATACGACGTCTCTTGAAGAAAAACTCCTCGAGCGCAAATTGTGCCCCAAAAAATCCACTCTTCTCCCGTCACCCGATAAATACCTGTTTCCTGATCTTCGTCATCGCTTATCAGCGTCTGACAGCTTCCCCAGCGACAGCAGGAAAGTGTCCAAAAAACGAACACCACATTAAGGAGCGTCGTTTCCATTAGACCAAAAAAAAATCACAGTCCCCGGCACTGATTTACGAACTTCGAAACACAACGGCAATAATAAATTGATTTACGGAAGAATAACCGGACGAATTTAATTGTCGGACCGGCGATGATATTCACGTCGATCGGTCGTGGTCCGGTTTTTGTGCATTTCTACCCCCACCGAGTTCGGCGTCAGCACTGACGCCACTCTTTCTGGACGACTAAGGGAGGAAACCCCGGACCGAATGCGGACGGAACTCGACGAAAGTTAACGACGCCCGTCTCATCATACCTGAAATCCTACGGCGATCATCAATTTCAGCAGGAATAAGCGGCTGTAAAACTGGAACATCACTACTTGCAGTTAAGCTGTGCGCACTTCGTAGATAGAAATTAATTTTTAGACAGTCGCTCAAGTATTACCCACAAATATACCCATTAACGACTAGTTAAAGAACCTAAAGGATAGAAATACTTAAAGAGCAACATTTTAGTGTCTTACAACTATGGATTATTATTTTATGCACCAAGTAGTATTTTAATTATTTAATGCACCAAGTAGATAGCCGATGGTTGCGTAATTGAAAATTGATATTACTTCCGTTTGACGCGTATTTAATAATGATATCGAAACGACATCTGACTTTAATTGTCTTCCAGCAGCTGCTTGATGGTTGCTTCAAATTTCAACGTCAGTAAGGTGTCGTTCAAATCCTTCTCTTTCTAGAATAAGATTATGTGGAATGCGCTTACATCTTATAATGCCGTATTTGCATCAGTTTCATTGGCTTTGAGTGTACGCCCCTTGGCATATAGTACTCCGTCACTCTGTTTGCCATATCCGCCAATGTCTACAGCTACAAATAGATTATTTTCGTCTACTATTTCTTGTAGAACTATCGAAAAACATTTTTATTACAATTAAAGAACAACGAACCAGAATTTTTAGGACACACCACACGAACGTGTTTTTCCATCAATTGATCCAATAACATGTTGGAAATTCTATATTTAAAAAATCCTCCGATACAGCTTTGAACTGATTTGTTGTTGGTTAAAGTATATATTCGGACTGTGAAAGCACGAGGCACGAAACACGAAACGCATATTTAATTTTAAAGGTGCAGTCAGCCAACAACAATGTATATCAACTAAATGTATTCTAAATATGTTTAGAAAAATTAATAGAATGTAACTGAAGAATACGTTTTTATGTAACCGATTTCAGCCATTTTAAAAATAGAATTAGGAATTAAATTTAATTTCTAATATCTAAATGCAGGAAAATTAATAGGAATATACCGGGCGCCCCAGTAAGGGCAACGAGGTGCAGTATTGGGAAAAGGGATCCCAAAAATTTGAAAAAGAAAACACTATGAAGTAAATCGACCAAGAGAAAATGCTGAAAATTATTGTTGAGGTTCTGAAACGGCCACCACACTGCTTTAAAGCTGAGACAAATTCAAATCTTTTTGTTGGATGCTTCTTACTTTATCTCTGAAAGGAAAGTGGTAAGAGATGCTCCAACATTTCGGAAAAAAATGTCGATAACTTCAAAATAGCTTAATCCACTGCGGATTCACAGGTGACCAGGTGCATGTTATGCAAATTGTTCATAATATTTGAGATAAAAAATTGGGATCTTCATCTACCATTGAATTTCAGTTTCTAATAATGATAAGGATGTAAATAGTGGTCTTTTAGAATTCGGCGAACCGATGTTATACTAACATCCTAGTCCAAACTTATTCTTCTTAAGTTTAAATGGGCATTAACGTGGACATAGTCAAGAACATTAATGGCGTTTTCTTCAGTCCTAAGGCGTAATTTTCTTCTAGGCACGGGATTAGGATCAACGAGTCTTGTTCCGCGCCAACCTTTATTAAAACGGCCCAATACTATTCTACTAAAATATCTTCTATTGAAATAACTTGCTACGTATACTTGCTCAACCACACATGCCTTTGGAACATTGGGAAAACACAACCAACATGTCGTATGCTTTGCCACTCGAAGAAGACATTTTTATTGCAATAAGGACATTTAAACTCTGACTATTTAAAACGCTAGATAATTAAAAGATTTTGACAAGCATCAAATGACGACATGAAATGTGCGTAGAGCGTTTTGTCAGATAGTATTTTCCGATTTGGAAAATTTCAGAGCTTACCTAAAAAGCAAACTATCTGGCGGCATTTTTTTTATGACAATCACGATAATTAGGAATGAATAATTTCTGTCAAAGGAGATGCTCAAATTTTTTTTATGGCTTACTACTTAATTAATAATTAATGAGCGACTAAGCCTAATTTTATATAAAAAATGTGATAATGCCTGACAGTTGAAACAGATAATGATATCACAACGTAGTAATAATGTCAATGCTATTGTAAAAAAAAACAATATAAACTAAGATAAACAACGAACTTATATAATTTTTCAAAAAAACTTCCACAGGCTACTGTAATGCTTTTTACAAAACTTCTGGATTCCTCCTGCTCTGTTACCCCTCACGACTCTAGATTTCCTCGTCTCTAAGGACTTCCAAAGATTCACAAACCAGGATTACCCCTTCGACCTATTGTCAGCACCATTGGTTCTCCCACATATTCTCTAGCAAAATATCTAGCTTCCTTATTAAAACCCCTTACAGGGAAAACTGTCAGTTTCGTACTTAATTCCTTTCATTTCATTGAACAATTAAAAAGCATTACATTCGATAAACAAGATATTCTAGTTAGTTTCGACTTAGAATCCCTCTTTACCAAAGTTCCTATTCCCGAAACTCTCGACATCATTTCAGATATATTAAAATCCGAGAATCTGGAACCAAACCTTCTCACCTTAATTGAAAAATACTTATCGGGAACATATTCTTCTTATAACGGTCAAATTTTTGAACAAACGTTGGGAACAACTATGGGTTCTTCATTAACAGCAGTCATCGCGAATATATATATATATATATATATATATATATATATATATATATATATATATATATATATATATATATATATATATATATATATATATGGCACGGGTTCAAGTGATATTCATGTTAAAAAAAATTACTGTGTTATTCTCAGAGAAAAACAATCTGAAATATCTTGACCTGTAAGGAGAAAACATTATTGCTTATCAAAACATCGAAATTTTCGTAAGGCACATAGAGACATTGTGACGAATTCCAAGTACAGAAAATTTTGTCGCTAATTAAAAAATCGAAGAAACGGATTAATTAAGAGAAAGAGAAAAAAAATCAAGATTTCAGTCACATTTGAAAAAATGATTAAAATGCGGTAAATACAGCTAATTAAATCGAAATTAAAAAAGAAAATCCTCGCAAGGATAATATGGAAAATTTCTAAGGCAATTAAAGTTTCGAGAGAAACCTTACAGAATTTTGCTTACAAGATATTAAATAAAAAGACAATAATACCTGTACCGGAAAACATCAAGTTTGATTTCAATTTTTTTTGTACCGTGGAAAAAGATTTGGAAAAAAGCAACTTCCTGTCTAGTTTTGGTTAGCATCTTTTTGGTTTGCCGGAAATATTAAATCCAATTGGAGGATGTACTTGCGCTTGGGGGCACCATCGTTGTTGACTTCCACTAGATTAAAAAAATTGTTGACAACTATCACTCAAATATTTAAAATGGACAACTATGGATTGGAGCATGTTGCTTTATTTATGGGTTGAAATGAAAAAAAACTCAATCAGTTTTATCGTTTGCTAGACGACGTTTACCGAACTACTTAAGTAAACAAGTTATTTATACTTCCACAACACAAATAATCAAAATTAGAATGAAGAGTAGGTTACAACAATTGCTGCGGAAGAAATTCTCAGAGAATAATACAAAAAACGAAAACGTGACCGACGATCAAAAACAAATTACAGAACCTTTTTTCAAAAAACATATTAAAAATAAAAATCGCTTAAATCGTGAACTGTCCTGGTATTTTTACAAAGGAAACATTGTCATTAATAAAAAATTACGTATGCAAAAAACTTTTTAAAAAATGCTGATGCGAAGAAGATAATTTATTTACAAATTTGGAAACGGCTCCTTTATAGTTTACTAATGTTTATATATTTTTTGAAACAATTTAGGTCCATTTTAAAGTATTTTATTTTGCTTTTGAGTGACAAGTGAAAAACTTTGCCTTAGGGGCGAAAAAAAAATCGAAAATCGCTGGAAACGATTTCTATCAGAAGAAGTGGAAACATAAAAGTGTATTAACTAACTCTCATCTACATTGATCTGAGGTGGCTTTTACTTGATGAAAATCCATTTATCAAAATAAATAAGAACTCAAAGTTCAGATTTTCACTAAATTATATATTATGACATGACAATTGTTTCAACAATACCGTGTCTTTATCAAATGTATAAAGACACGGTGTTGTCGAAACAATTGTCATGTCATAATATATATTTAAAGGTTTTGAAAAATGTTTTTGAGGGATACAAGAAAATCTAGATTTCATTCAACACAAATTGTTTTTATTTCTATACGATTAAAAAGCGTTTTTCAAGAGCTTTAAAATAAGGTATTACTCAGCTCCTTATTTAAGATTTCAATTGAGAATCTTCCTGTTTCCAATAGGTTGCAGATTGAGCTTAATTAACATATATTTTGTGTTCTCAATTGTTTCACTCGATCCTCACTCGGTTTTGGATTTCGGATGTGAATTTCGCCCTGTCCAAGGGATTGCAAATAAGGGATAAGATGAAAACATAATTAAATATAAAAGTCGTTATTTATCATATTTTAGACACAATGATCAAATGAATTAAAATAAAATAGATTGCATCAATAAAACAAAAACGAAAACTTTTGTAGCAAAAATTTTAAAACAAATAAAACATTTTTCATATAAGATCCGTTAACATTGGAAAACCAAAAATGAAACATTTCTAAATTTGTAAATAACACACCTGCAGACCCGTTAATTTTTATTAAATTTATTGCATATGTAAACTTTTATTACTGGCCATGGTTGTTTGTAAAGATCCCAGGATGACTCTCGATGACTCTCGATTAAGCTCATTACCTCCTGCTTTTTTGCCGAACACACTCATGAAACCGGACATAAAATTTTATTGGATAAAACTAAAATTCTTTCATGTAATCAGTTCTTCTACCAACGAAAAATCCGAGAGTCTATAGAAAT